TTGTGAAACTCAATTTTCGCTTAGAACGGGGTTGTCTTTTCGCGGATTTCGAAACGTCATCCCTGAGAATGTTGATGTTATATTAGGGACGTTGCACATTAGCGCAATAATTAATCCTGCTTATCATTAATAATGTTTTGGTTTCTGAAGAGGAATTTTGAGATAGAAGATTTTGAATAACAAACGATCCCGGGGTGATTCAGTTGTAATGAATCGTGCACTTATAATATCGATATAAGTTTAAACTTTGATAAATAACTCTCTCTCTCTCTCTCTCTCTCTCTCTCTCTCTCTCTCTCTCTCTCTCTCTCTCTCTCTCTCTCTCTCTCATGTTCATTACCTTGATTACCAGGATGCCTGAAGCTTAGAATTATTCTTCAATTCAAATTCGTATGCGTGTTCACACACTTGACTACAGTTTACTCAAAAATTATCCAAACATACTTGTATTAAACAAACTATATTAACTGCAAAGACAACATACCGGCAAAACCTATAGACAGATTTATGACCAATAATATAAAACAAATACATTAATATTGTTGACTTATCACATAACTGCCTTGTTATCGGTGAGATAACACCCACTGCATATTCCTTTGTTAAGACACATGTGCAGTACTACCTAGCGGAGCTGTAATTGGCTGAAGCTTTCCAATATCTGCTTTTGTGACGTCACAGCTTCATGCAGTGATGACAGGAGGAAATATCAGGAAAACGCATCAGACTTAAGAAAAACTATTTTCATTATTGTTGTATAAAAATTTCTAAGACACGTTTTCTAAATCTGAAACGAATAAATTATTATTATATATTTATCAAAGATTGTCGAACACGAACATGACAATGGTGTAGTAGTGATTTTATGAAATATCCTGCACGAGATAAGTCTTATATATTGATTTACTTTAGGAATGCGTAGTTCTATAGCTGTTTAAAAAGAAGTATACCACGAGTATCTCGAAATTTAGAGATAGCAACTTGTCAACTCGAAATTTCGACTTACTAACTCAAAATTTCGGATTTTCAAATCAAAATTGCGAGTTGCTATCTCGAAATTTCGGGTTAATATCTCAAAATTTCGGATTACTAAATCAAAATTTCGAGTTACTATCTCGAAATTTCGAGTTAAAATAAAACACAAGGTGGCCGGAATACGCTTCCGTATCGTGTGAATATGGCGCAGTGAGTTCCTGCGATAAACCTTAATTCTTTGCGCTAGACTCTCGGTAATTCAAGAGAATTCCAATTAAAAACATATTTCATAATTGCGACATATTCTGTTTAATACATCATGTATATTGAGACATGTTGATCTAAATATCCTTCCGAAGATTTGCGGCATTCAGGTATTTTTGGTGGACACACGTGTACATCTTTAAGACGCGTGCCGCAGAGAGATGATATTATTGTCGTCAAATTAATAACAAAGGGTTTACATGTTGGTAATTAGATTTCTTGATCAAAGAAATTAAGTAAACATTCATTCTTATGTATTCAGGTGTTATCGTATATATTCTTGGAAATCGGTATTGAATTTGGAGCAAGTAAGCATCGAGTGCTTAATCTATTCTAGAGTGCTACTTTAAACAGTTGACATTATTTCAGAAATAAGTTGTATCATGTGACATATCGAATAAATTGAAAGTGCAAGATTATGTATTTAACTTGAAAAGTTATTCTGTATAACATTGTATAGTGACACCTGTATTATACCGCTACCTAAGAATTGCCACACATTACGATATGATAATCGGGTATTGGGTATATACAATGGGAAAGTAGTACTGTTCTATTTCCCAATACATATATATCAAATAATTATATTATGAGTGAGACGTTAAACCCTTATCCAATAAGCAATTGTAAAACGTTTTATTATAATAATAAATTAGATTATTTTTAAGTTACGTTAAATATGATACCATGCCTTCTCGGTGACTAACACGACTAAGCCTTAATACCTATATTGGGTTTTAATTGTATTAGCATAAAGATATTGTATAAAGAAACGGTCATAAAACCATTGAGTTGTTTCAAATGTCCATCAAAGCTTTTGTTATTTCATGAAAATGTACGCATTCATTCTCAATTTTTCGATTTTGGTTGTCAATGAAAATATCATCGTTACAGTCAGAATGTTATATATGGTCTCATACACTACAACATTCGTGCCGATAGGTGGAAATGCACCAGCCTTATCTCACACCTTTACAGCCAGAATGACGCCGACACCATCGCGGACATTCAGTTTTTATGGTACTTCATGTTTTACTGCGTGCGGTAACGTCAGGAAATTTCGATAGATATGAAATTTTCAAATTTAAAAATCAAATGTTTAACTATATATCTACCATGTCGTGATAGTAAAAATAATGAAATGAAGACATCAAAATTAGTGCCATTTACTACATGTTATTTATCATTGATGAACAATGCATTTCTGTTATTGCCCGTTGTATATGGAATCCTCCGGGGACAAAATATCGTGCCGAACCCTTACAAGTCAGTCGAGACTACATGTATTAATCAGTGTTCTACCTACGTCGACGGCCTCCATGTCTTAACTACTTCCGTTCTTTGTGGCTAGAATATCGATTCAGTAGTAATCAAGATAAATTATGAATTACTATGTTTATTCGCCAATTCCTTTAACTGCAATTAGCACTTTACGACGTGTTTGATGTGGCAAGAAAGTCGGTGAGACATATATTTGGAATCTCAATCACTTACCAAACTTTTTAGTTAAACAGTGAAAGATGTACTTTCCACCAACTGCCAACGTTTAACCCTGAATCTAACTGAACAATCCAGAACGGAAGTCCATTACCACAGATCCTACAGCGTTAAGAGTATGTCTAGTGCATGCTTACTTCACAAGATAGGGGATACAGCTGCTTTTATTTTTTGTGTCATTTGATTACCGCATAGCTGTTAATTTTCAAGGGTCAAAATTTTCGCGAATTTCTTTAAAAAACAAACTTATTATATCTTAACGATTTAAAATGTATGTATAAGGACCTGCAATACACCCGTGTCTCATTAGGTCTAGTATTAAATTTCCGCGGTCACGTTTAATGTACCGCGAAATATCGAAACTATCATCCGTACAAAAATCACCGGTAATGGAGTGTATTACTTCTTGTTAAATAAAAACAATACTGATACCTAGTATTTCTCACTCTACTCATTCACTACGACCAAACCAAATGCATGTAGCATTCAAGTAGAATACACACCTTCATGACAAGAAGGCGCGTGTGCCTTTCATGCGTATCAGTGGAAATTGAAACGATCGAATGTTACCCAGGGTAAGTACTAGATAATAATCTTTAAAAAGTACCGTACATCACACAACAATTAAGAGCAATCCAGACACCAATATAAGCTTAGTTCAGGGTTAAAATCCACATCATTGTCCAGAGAGCTACCATTTCATATAACTATCATGTTTTTCATTAAGTCAATAGGTGAGGGGAGGCCTGACACCTGATACTGTTAAACAGCTATTTTCTCTATATATCGTTTGCCTACTTCAAACAATAGATTATATGTAGACAATCGTATAATGAATTATGTGACTGTATCAGCTGCACACTCTCAGGCACCACCGTATTCGTCGTCTTGGGTGTTCATTGGTACGCAAATTCAGACTGCACTGCAAATCACTTATTTGATATGTTTGTAAATACAAGATGCCAATCAGTTCACATTTCCGACAACTTAATAAAAAAGGAATAATTACTCATTAGCATCGATAATGATGGTCAACACGTTATGATTGCTGTACGTTAATTAAGACCATATTAGTTTGTATGTTTGCTTTCGTGTCGGCCTACGTCTAACTAGAAGTAAACTACCCTTTCAGTTTCCCCTTTGTCTTCAATTAAACCACTTTTTTATTCATATCTTTTATTTCTTTCTGCGCCATGCGGATCTAATGAATAAATTATTTGAACATTTTTTGGTCACTTATATTTTCCAAAATATGTTTTAATCTTTCTATTGGCTTGATTAAACGCCAATTCACTCGTGAATTGTCAATGAACGGGCCCACTTTTTAACCTTTGTTCAGCTGCGAACTTTTCGACGTTCCAAAACTTCTCTATAGGAAATGCCAATGCCCTCAGATCATAAACGACATCATCCTACAGTGCAGTGCAACGAGGAAACATATAATGAGACAATTATAAATTTGGTCAGATTGCGAGTATGTTACCTTGTATCTGATGGTTACTACCCATGCTTTGCTGCTGCAAACCTTGAAAAATATGAAATAACCAAGATTAGCAAATTTGCTCTTAAATCAAAAAATAGAAAATACTGTATTTTTAGTAAGTATAGTCAAGACCTACCCATGTATATGAATCATTATATAAACACACACTTTTATTGTTACTTCTAATCACGTCATATACATTTCAATTACTGGCAACACAAAACGGCTTAATGGTCATGTAAGATTGGTGTGGTAAGAGTGCTTTCGGTCACAGGGTGTGTTAAAACACAACCATTAACAAGGCCGAAGAATGACCTGATCGCCTTAAGGTATACTTTCTATTGTAGCGCTTTGTGACACACAATAGCGATAACTCCCGTTTTCAAAAACAAGTCATGCAAGTGTTAATTCAAAATTATGAAATAAGATAAAAACTGTAATTGGATTAAATGTTATACCACTACAAAGAACGCTATACGTGAGAAGGTTCAGATTAGTGTGTACAAGTAGACTATACACGAGGTATGGGGTGACGACACAGTGCGGTCGTACCATTGATTAGCCCTAGTGTATATATGGGTAGGTTTATACCCAGACGATCAGTGAGTACCATAAACACTAGAAATGCTAGTTCGCGTCCATAATTCGAGATTGGCTCAATATATCTGACATAGATCATGGACTTCATTTTGAAATATTTTTAGATTTGAAACCAAAACCAGGTATATTTTTGAAGATGGAAACGGATTGATTTGTAAAACGAATTTCCGAGAAGACGACTATGGGTTTCGCCAGGCATCATCCCTGTAATGTCCACAATTTTAAACTCAATCACTCGGATGTCGAACACTTTGTCACACTTCAGGTATGTATATCGGCTATTTTATCCAGATATTGGGTTTTCTGTAGTGAATATTATTTATATGTTTAAATTCGTCGAGCAAATTGTCCACGCAGTGCACGAAATGTTTTATTGTTCTTGTATAATGTTAAACGCCTATATTCCTAATGTATTATCTTCTATGAACATTTTACTATTTCCTGTGTTGCCCTTGTTCCTCCTTTCAAAACCGTTTTCGTATATTAAATGTCTTGCTAAGAGTTTGATGTTTAGTGTTGTTTCGATACTGTGCTAAGACAGCAATGCTCTTGTATCGAGCGGTTCTTGAACATCACTTCGACACTATTCTTGTAATTGACTTGTAATATTCTAAACGTTGACCGTGATCTTGTATCAGACTAAGCGTTGACCTTCTTCTTGTACTTGACTAAATGTTGTCAATATTCTTCCATTAGACTAAACGTTGATAATGTCATTGTAATGTTCACGTGCGGATTCCCAGTCGGTTCCATTGTTGAGCAAAACGTTTAGACTTTACAACGATACTTCGCAAAAAGTTTTCTGCAAACGAATGGAGAGTAATATTTTATCCCTTAGTTTCGACAAGTTCTTATCACCAAAGAGTCGTGGAAAGACGAAATTGTTTGTCGAAGTCAAAATCGCATTAGATTTTTCTAATACTTTATATTGAAAGCCACAGCAGGCTTTTCACTACTGCAAAGGTTTGACATATACTGCATGCAGTTGGTTCGTTTGAATAATGATACGGTTCAGAATCTATTGACCTTTTGGGTTAATGCATCTCCTCGTCTGGGGGTTCACATTTATTTCGGCCAAATCAGATTATCCTCCTTTCGAAAAATGTTTGCCGTTAGCTGAACGAAAAACACTCACTTCAGTTCAAAATTATTTCAAATTCTTCACTTTGCTGCTGGGACTGAGGAGACCATTTGTAATCCTTGGTGATGAATACGTTTGATAAAACTGACGATAGTAATTGACAGAAATTGATTATCTATGATTTAAATCTATGTTAAATGTCACACCAAAATGTCATATACACAAGCACATAAAAAGGTGATGCTAGTCCCTGGTTGAATGTGTATTACCTGGTTTTATCAATAAGCATTGTAGCACTTTAACAGGATATAAACATCTACATGTCTGACAAGTTAATAGCTCTCTGTCATTTTCACCACAGTTTCCTAACTCTAAATACTTTAAAGTTATATTTTCATACTTCTTTGATTTTCAAAAAAAAAAAAAAAAAAATTCGTTGGCACTTTATTTAGTAGATGAAATGTACGCATAAAATTAATTTTAAATCTGACGAAAATAATTGATGTAATGATCATTTCAGGACAGTTTATGCTTCAATATGGTATGCAAAATATGTTTACTAAGAAAACTAACAAATATGTGAATATAGTAATATGTTTATCTATTTCTTATTAAGACTCCAGTTATAGGTTAGGTGTATATCTACTTAGTGCATTGATATCAGTCATTGTTCACTGGACTGTACGGCCAATAGTATTAAATGCATTTACCCCACCTATATATTGACCCTGGAAATCTTAACTGATTTCTAATATTTCAGTATCTTTAGTAGTTTTGTATACTGCTACAACAGAATTTCGGAGGATCATATTTTTAACATTGTTTGCGGATGGAATGAAATGATAAATAAATAAAATGATATTGTAATTAAAAGGAAACCATAGGCCGTGTTTTTTTCAATTTCAAACATTTTTTAACAAATAATGTATGACAAAAGGAGTAAACATCAGGCAGAGCCTATATAAGTCCTCTATCATAGTTCGTGTTAGGACTTCCGTGGAAATACAGCAGTTTAACTTCGATGTTTCGGTAAATTCATGGAAATTAAAATATTGAAAACGGTAACATATTTAGTGACTAATGTGAACTCTAAAGCAGTGTATAGTTTGTACCTCCATATATGAATGCTATAGATTAAGATGTGATATGTCCGGATGTTTACTAACAACACCAACATATTTATGTGGACATTAACACTCATATTTATTTACTCGTGCATATATATAAATAGTAACACTAGTTTAGTCTATTTTTGTTAACATAAATGGACACTGGTGAGTTCTGACCTATATTGACGTTTGTATTTTAGTACACTTGTGTCTCGCGTGTTTGTGGTTATGTATATTAATGTTAGGATTTAGCTTTTTGTTATATTGACTTAACTTCTTCATTTATTCATAATGTAGGTCATAAATTATTTCTATACCAACATCTATATACCTAGTCAATTCATAGTTTAGTATTGGTGTGGCATTTCCTATCGTAGTGTTTATGCGTATAACAAGTGTACTGTTAGGTTGAAAATAACTGGATCGCGACCTTTCTGCCTGTATATTAATTGAAACAATTACATCTATTGCTCGGAAGATACTTGCTGCCAAAGTACATTGCTGATGATTATGGAATTTCATCATCGGGCTGCAGTATACACCACGACAAAATATGTGACGATCACTTGATACGTCGGTTGGTTGATGACAAGTTAATACAAAATCCAATGGGGTGAGCCTGAAGGGTTAGGTTTCAGATCTATGTTATTGCAGACAAAGCGAACAAACATGTTAATAATTTGTCACAAGCACTGACACTTCTAGTCCTTTTCAAAATTGATCTTTTTGACATATATAACGGTTAGGACAATACAAATAGGTTGTCATATAGAAGCCCACGCAGCATTGACGTCAAAAATACTAAATATTCTAAATCATGTTTTATTTTTCAAAGTCATGATACTGGAATGAAAATAAACAATTACAGGTGAAATTACATCTGTTAAAAGTGACAGGGAAATGGCCCATCCAAGCGTGAACTTTTCATGGGTTATTGTGGAGTATACCTCTAGGTAGTTTAATGAACATTTGTTTAAACTGAAACACGAATTTTCCTGATTCTAAGCATTATTAAAATAGTTAATAATTTAATAGAGAAAAATCATTACTATTACAACTAGAAGCATATTGTAGCATGGTATTGTAATACGTTATTTCTGTTAGATTTGTTTAATACCACATACTATATGCTAAAACATATTTCTTTTCATCAGGTAGTTGGCTTTTCTTCCATACATCACCTGTGTCACAGGTAAAGCATATAACATACAGTACATATCACTGCTTTGTAATTAATCTTCCTGTTTTACCAGAAATCTGTGTTAGTTGTCGGTGAATTTTAACAACTCCTTTTAATTTTGGGACTCAAATCGAATGCGAAATACAGACTCTCTGTAGCTATAATGTCATAAACGAAACGACGTTTTATTTTGGTGTTGTATTTATGATCTACTTAAAAATATTTTTATGCTTTCTAACGATATATATCCGTAGTGCCATTCCACATATTGTAATGTATATGTATTATATATACAAATTTGAAATTCATCTGTAAAGGTGGTATTCTTTGCTTAGTCACTAAGTCGGTACTCTTAACCTAAGATTGTCGTGTCGTTTTGTAATTATCGGAACTTGTGGCATACCTACTGACATGAGAAGGTCCCTAACAATACCTGGTCTTATTAACAACCTTACAAAAATACCACTCAAGCAAGACAAGGTTATAAAACTCCCTAGATCAATTTCATCATTAATATGTTTTGTTCAGCTGGTCGATTTTAAATAGATGTGACCGAGCTCTAATAAAACTGACCCATTGACGTTTTTTCTATAAAATCAAATCGGTCGATTTGTTAATGTCACGTTTAACCATTATATGGAACCACATGACCTGGTGTGAAGGCTTCAATTCTTATCGTTTATCTCCAATGAAGCATGAGGTATAAAATACGTATTTACCTGTAAGCACGTTCAGGTAATAACATTTCATGAATAGAGAAATCCCAATCTTATCAAACACATATCAATTTAGGAGGAGTATACATTGTACTACCAATCTACCAATCTATTTTTAACCACATATTAACCCTCCATTCAGTAACAACCATGTACATATATTAAGTGTTTCTCTGTCATCTCTAAAAACTACAAAAAGTACACTACACATCATTGTTTTAATGACTTTATTCGTATAACATTTTCTCACATGATATTATGTGTGTGACTACTAACGTTGGTACGGTCAGCACAGAAATTTTCTTTTAAGTCATTATTATACATATGACTACCTGTTACAGACAGAACACCTGTGACTATCGGTTACAGCGGAACACATCTACTTTTTCAGTCATCATTATACATATGACTGCCTGTTATAGACAGAATACCTCTCCTCCTTAAGTCATTATTATATATATGACTATTTGTTACAGGCAGAACACCTCACCTCTTTAAGCCATCATTATACATATGACTATATGTTACAGGGAGAACGCCTCTCCTCTTTAAGTCATCATTATACATATGACTGCCTGTTACAGACAGGACGCCTCTCCTCTTTAAGCCATCATTTTACATATGACTACCTGTTACAGGGAGAACATATCTTTCCTTTGAAGCCACCATTTTACATATGACTATATGTTACTGGGAGAACGCTTCCCTTTAAGTCATCATTATACATAAGACTACCTGTTACAGGGGGAGAACATACCTTTCCTTTGAGCCGCCATTTTACATATGACTATATGTTACAGGGAGAACGCTTCCCTTTAAGTCATCATTATACATAAGACTTCCTGTGAAAGGAAGGATACCTCTACATTCTAAACTGTTCTATACTCTATATTATCATGTGTTTACGTATCTGTTTCAGGGAGGCCGAATCTATCCCTACCTGGCGTGGGCGTTGTTCTGGTCACTCTATCACCTGTCGTGGATAATCGTTGAGATTTACTGGGCTGCAACAGACAATTTAAACGACGCTCTCTTTTTTATATACCTAACTAACCTCGGCTATATTCTGTTGGTCAGTTTCACGTGGCTGGACCTAGCTGCTGTTATATACTACATCCTAAAAACAAAGAAAGGTGCTGACATGTCCAGTGAGTGTTTTATATATATTTTGATATCTATTTGAGTTTAACAACAAAATATATTACTATACTTATCCCTGTTCTCCTGCAACAAATATTTTGAGCTTTCTTTTATAGACAAAGGCAAAAACTAACCCCATCCCACTTTTTTTTTAAGAAAACGTTAAATGAATACTATGGCGATATCAAAGCAAATTAACCAGACAAACAGTTTATATATGTGCGTACAGAGTTCATTCTATGCTTTCTGTTAAAGGTATGCCCCTATTGTGGAAGGTCAACTGGGTTCTCTATAACACGGCAATGACAACAGCAATCCTTATAGTGGTCATATACTGGATTTTGCTCGCCTCGTGTAAGTTCTCTTTCCTCAGCATATCAGTTATATCTCTGGAACACTACACACATCATTATAAATTATAATACTGGTCTATTTGATATTTCTGGTTTGCTCAGTTCTCGATATTAACCTTCCAACTATAGATCGATCAATTGTCTTTAAGTCTGTGTTAAAATCCTTTAATGTATATTCAAAATGATTTCATAATACAGCCATTTCAATGCAAATGTTTAAATTCATTTTCCACTCGCAATTAAAAACACAATTATTTAATCTATTTGTTTATTTCCTTGTAGCGTTCGGGCCCGGGAGCATCAATAAACACCTTATCAATGGCGTTATAGCGCTGTTATATGTGTCTTTCACTGCCAAGCCTTCTCGTATCCTGCACTTCTACCAGCCGCTAATATTTGCCGCTTTGTATACTATTTTCTCTGTTATATACTTCGCTGCGGGAGGGGGTAATATATACGAAGTGCTGGACTGGAGTAAAGCAGGTGAAGCCCTCGCCCTCACCTTACCCCTTATCCTTATAGCTGTGCCTCTCGTCCACCTGGGCGTATGTGGTGTCTACTACGCTCGTTTGGAAATATGGCGGAAATGTTTTCTAAATACAGACGGAAGTCCCACAGGGGGGTCGCAGGTCCGCCCTCGGACGGACAGTGAGATGGGAATGGTCAGTACGAGTAGAAATGGTGACCAGATATCTACAATATCTAATGAACTTAAGAAAAACGGCCCTTTGTAGTCGACTTCTTTATTGTAGGGGGCTAGTGCAAACTTAATCAAGTCTTAATCAACTACGTCAAAGAAAAAACATGTTCCCGATTCTCCAGTTGCCATACAGGTGTTTTATGTTTTGTAGACATAAAAATGTGTAAATCTAGATCCACCATCAAGCTTTGATTCAATATATTCCACCCCTGTCGTTAGGGTTTTGACTATTAAAATCTCTCAAAACAACCATACCTGCTATTGTTTACTCGAAATTGAACGACTGTGATTTTCAACTACATGTTACTGGAGTATGAAGAAATCTTCATGTAAATATGGTGTTCATTTTCTCTTTAGGCTAACATAGGTTAGTAATAAATTGTATTTGAATGTTGACAGTAAACCATATATACAAATATATGTGAAGATATTTTAGCTATGATGACAATCGAATTGTTCCACAGCATTTCCATGGTAGAATAATTATACATGCAATGTTATATTTTGTTTTGATACAGTGCGTTTTGATTAGTAATCATGCTACCTCCATCATTGTTTTCTCTTTATTTTATTTTTCTGCTTTGCTTAGCTGAAGATAATCCAGAGTTCTTACATGATACATGTTGACTTCCCTGATACTTCGGTACATATCATTTTTCGAGTTTTTTATTTAGCTATTTTTTAACATGGAACAAATGCAATTAATAGAGAAAATTATAATCCATTGCATGACTTCCTTGAAAAAAATAAGTTGTTTGCCTGATTTGTTTTGTTTTTTGTCGGGATTTTTTCACGAAAATTTGTACGATCAAAAATTATTTTTTACGATATATAAATCAATGTGATCGTTGTAAAGCGATATATATCACCTTGTTGTCATTGATACATGAGACATCATTACCTGATGTAAGTTACCGAGTAGGGCTCCTTCATATATATCTACTCTTCTTATTCATGATTAAATGATTTCTAAATCTCGAAATATAGTTTTGAAATTGTTACGTTTTATTATTAAATCAGTTAGCTATGTAAAAGACGTATTTGTGTTATTTATTGGGAGTATTTGGAAACTTAGAGAAAATTGATAAAAACAGACATTACAGGTTGAATTTAGTTTGTAGACGAATGAGAACGAAGTGGATTAGGTTCCTCAGATGATGTATGCCATGTATAAACCATGTCAAGAACGTTGGTCAATACAGACAACCAACAATGCGAGAAACAAAAAAAAACAAAAAAAACATAATTGATTATGAAACTGCATAAGAGTCGTTATACCCGTAATTTCAAAGGCTTCTTAAGTGGGAGAGCCTACACGAGATAATTTCCGATGCGCAATTTGGAATCAAACCTGGTTTTTCAACAATAGATGATTGCGAAATGAAATTTATCCCTGAAAATTGTCCATCCATTGAAATAGGTCTTCTTAATTTGTGTTTACTTATGTGTGCGGGTGATACTGCGTTGATTTCAGAGTCACCAGAAGCATAAACTTCTAGGTTCTCTTTATGTTAATAACCTAGAATGGAAGTTAAAGCACAATGACTCAAAAACTAAAATTATTATCTTTCGAAATGGTGGAAATAAAAGGGACGATGAGAAATAGACATATAGCAACCAAGAGATTGATGTAGTAAATGAGTTCAAATATTTGGGAATGTTGATGAATTTTAATTGGAAATTTAATGTCACTCAGAAACATATTGCTAATCAAGGAAGAAAACCTTTATTTTCAATTAGTAGTAAAATAAAGAATAATAATTTTAATATTAACACAAAGTGTTCAGTTTTTGATACGTATGCCAATAGTATGTTGGAATATGGGTGTGAGATATGGGGCTTCCATAAAGCTCCAGATATAGAAAAGCTTCAATTCGGTTTTTATAAAAGATTGCTTGGTATTAAAAAAACACAGGTACAGATTTAGTATATTATGAACTCGGCAGGCAGCCACGTTACATAAATAGGAGGCTAAAAGTAATAAATTATGGTTAAAATCAAAAGAATCCAAAAATTGTATACTGGCGAGATGTTTAGAAGAGCGATAAGTAATGAATGATACCTGGCTGAACAATATTAAACTAGAACTAGATAAATTAGGCTTATCTTATATTTGAAATATTGATACTGTAAATACTAACATAAATAATAGAACAGGGATTTAAGGATTGTTACACACAGGATATTAGAGCAAGAATTCAAAATGCTGCCAGAGGTGACCTATATAAACATTTGATCGATAATTTTTGCATGCAATATTATTTACTAAAACCCATCGATTATACTTATAAACAATGTTTAGCAAGCATTAGATTGTCGTCACATCAGTCAAAAATTGAAAACTGGCACTATCTTAACATTGAAAGGAGACGCAGAATATGTGAATGCTGCGAAAACAATGAAATTGAAGACGAATTTTGTTTCATACTCCAGTGTGGTTTTTTTTATAAAGAATTAAGACAAAGGTAAATTTAAAAATGTTATTACAAATCACCTAGAGTTTTCAAACTGGTACAGCTTTTAAGTATAGATAATGTGAAGGACTTAAATAATCTTGGCAAATATATTTATTTAGCCTTTAAGAAAAGAAAAACACACTTCAGATAATTGTGATTACTCTTATGTTATTCCTGAAACAAGGTAAAGTGGAAAATGAATAATTACTTATATATTGAGGTACACACATATATTCGCCCACCTTACTAACTTGTTGCTTGTATTCAATATTCGTTTGATTAATTTATGTTAAATATGACATTAAGATTTTTGATTTGCAATCAAAGTGATTTGGCTGTCATTTGGCGTGTGATAAAATGGTATCATATAACTCCATGTAAGAAGAACATTGTTTATAACTATGTTATGTGCATACCAGGATAGATAAAGGTATAACACCTAATATATATTTATTGTGCATTCCTTTAAGAAAGAGAAAACAGACCAACTCGTTATCATTATATACCTTATACTGCTAAGCATCTCTGGTGATATTGTATATCTAAGTAAAGTACAATTTTGGCCGTGAGTGAGGGTGTTTTTGTTGTGTGCGTGAGTGTTATGTATATGTTACTAGATGTTTTCCACGTGATTATGTACTACAGTACGTGTGTGTGCGAGAGATCACTCCCCAATTAACAGTATGCATATTTGTATAATCATGTATGTAATAGTATACCTATGGGCCGTAAGGCCCTCTGAATGAAATTTGAATTTGAATTTGAAATTTCCTCTTAAACATCATGACAGCTTTGACATTCAGCTTGTGTAGAACAAATCGGCTGTGTCAGGAAGCCTAGTCTCTATAACTGACTGAGCAACGAGCCGTTCGTACCATTCAGGAAACCCATACAATCAAATAAAGGATCCGGAGCGAATTCATTGACAAACGTTATCTCTAAAGACCACAAATACCCATATTCCACTCAGGGAAAGGAACTGGAAATAGATTTATACTATTTATCATAGTGCGGTAGCGAATGGGACAATAAATTGTATAGTAGTGTTTAGTATAGATCCTTTAAAGCGTTTGTATAGATTGTTTATGAACTGAAAGGCGAAACCTACAATGTTTTTATAAGTAAATATCACATATTATATATTCTTTGGTATATTATGAAGGTTCTTTGATACGGGCATTTCAGTGAACTAGTCCAAGGGCTATCTTTTGTTCTATGTGCAAATATTGCAGTCAAAATCTGCTTTTAGAGAGGAGGAAATTGTTGTAAGTTCTTGGTATGGAGATTAGATAAAAAAAAATCATGATCGTTATGAGGTCTGTGGACAAATTCTGAAGTATCTGAGGTTTTCCAAATTATGCAATAAATGTCTCAGATGTAGCTCCAAGTGATGATGCTTGGGGAAGTCTGTTGTTGGTACCATCACACAATGATACACACCTAGAACCTTCAAAGAGGATGTCATTTGTACTAAAGCAATATAGTAATGACAAATTAGAGCCAATGTTTGAAAAGGAAAGGCAAAAGCGGATAGTGACATTCTCGCTCAGTTACAGGTAACAGATTTTATGAGTCTCTCACGTTGACGTATTCAGCAAGCCTCTTCGTCATATCACGTTTCCGTTTCTCAGTGTCTTTTAGTGCCATGTTAACAGGAAAAAAATGCTAAAACTTGTAATCCCTATAGAAAAGGAAAACATTACACAGATACTTTGAAATCACGTTGCTAAAATGTACATGAAACATATGTCAGTACGGTCAAAACACCCCATTTAAGTTCTTTGCTTATTGTTAATCATCGAATGTAATTGAATTATCTCCCATTTTTTATTTACGTATGTACATGTTACCACAGTCTATTACACAAGGATAGCTTGGATTTGACCCAGGTTGTACGAGTGATGTGATCTATGAAGTAATATTTAATCTTAACTTCAACAATGGGCGAAACAAAGTAACCTTTATGAAAAACATGTGTATCCCGCACCACATTTTAACATGGGATTTGAATTCTATTCAAAGATTAAAAGAAATAGATCCGCGAGAGGTGTTGATAAATTCTGTCGGAGATAAGATATTTCAATGATAACATCAAGCTGGCAATGTAATGTTAAGATGAACGAAATCAGCAGCCTGGTCCTTTTTACAAGCATCAACAATATAATTGTAAATATTCTTCAATTCCTCCAACAGCTATCGATAAGTCTGTTCTTGACTTCCTATGTAATTCAACCTTTATCTAAAGTGTATCGAAAGAGATGGTGAAACCTTAACAAACACAATACAATATCGACCTGTTAACGAGAGTACAAATGAAAGGAGAAATAAGACCAAGTGTTCTGGAAGATAAAGCGTCTTCTACTTAATGCACGACAAAGGCCATGTAAATCAATGTCAAGCATCGAATACGTCGTCTAACTTCACATCGCACAATGAGATCACACTGATGACCACAACGCTTCTTTGTTATCTTCATCATCCGGCTTTCCTCGAAACCCCGTTAGTTGTCAATATCTGCCTACACGAAAATCACGATTTTAGGAGAAGGCGTTCGGTTGAAACCAGTGGAACAGCCAGACTGGCATGAGTGTGGATCCGTTATGTTCTATCCAAACCACTGCGAACCGCGACCCGAACCTGCTAGAGGAGTGTGGAGCCATGATCCTCCGGGAGAAATTGAAATATCGCTTTTCTCAGGAACAATCTTCCACATTCTGATAAAAAAAAAAAACAAACAAAAATAAAAAAAACAAAACAAAAAGGAATGCACAAAAAAAAAAACAAACAAATAACTTCAGTTTTTAAAGTGTACAATATTGATAAGTTATTTCATTGTTGCTTTCCTCGGATATACAATGGTCAAAAAACACAATTTCTTGCTAACGGGGATTTTATCCATATTTTTCTGCAATGTGTTTCTCTTGTTCATTATTTAGCTGTTTTTGTAGAAGTCAACCGGATTTAGATTTTTATTTTAAGAAGTATGATGTTTTTGTATTTTCATATTATATCTAATATATCTATCTAATATATCTATGATGTATGTAATTAAAGTACAATAATGCTCGAAGTGTTGTTGTTTTTTGTTTTTGGTTTTTGGTGGGTTTTTTTTTTTTTAATAAACAGATGTCATGACATATCACAGGTATAAGTGACGGTTAATTGAATAATAAAAAGTACATGTTCATAGAGGCCATACCTGTTTAATTTTACCAAAAGTTCGACAAGTCACCTGTCTGTAATATATAATCTTTAATTTCCGTTAGTTTATCATTTAATATCAAAAATATAAGAACTTATTAATATTCAATTGTGATCAAATAAAACACAATCTTAGATAAACAATGAAGTTTGATGGAGAAACGAAACTTCAATTTTCTGTGCTGGTAGGTCTGACACCTTTCTCTTCTGATACAATATCCTGAAAACGCCAAAACACTCATTGAAGTGAACTTTTCTTAATCCTGAAAGTTTGTCAAGGAAACTGTAAAATGAAATTATTTTAAAACATTAGGCTTCTGGATTTAAGTCATCATATTACAGCTAAGTGATATATGCTAGTTACATATTCCAGAACAGGTCGTGCTCTCTCTCTCTCTCTCTCTTATAGTTACATCAAGAGATGTACTTCTATACATGAAACATTTTATGAATTTATCAAAGACCACGAGAGTATCGATTCAGGCATCGAATAAACATTTTTTAAAGATGAGAACTCTTCTATTTGGCAGTAAGGAGTCGTATTACTACTTGTACGGTTCCTGACGTAAGAAATTCGCCAAGTGATTGCAATTTTCTATCACAATTTCAATAATTTGAAATTTCATTATCACTAAAAACAAGAGAAGAAAATTATGTGGATGCTCGAAAGTAATGGCGTACGATTAGCTATGCCTCAGATGAAGAGTTTAAGAAAAAGACAACAACATTAATCTACGGTGAATCAATTTTATACTAACTAAATATCAGCGTGTCATGAAATAAGGTGTTATTCGAAGGGAGATAACCCTTCATAAAAATGATATTTAGTTTTCGTTCATAATTTATTTACAAAGAATATAAACCTAAATAATGGAACTGTGTTAGATATCTATTCCGTTATTTGTATGTAATGATTTTTTGATATTAACAATTTGTTTAGACAAAACATGTAATATAATTATTTTGTTTCTGTATTGGATTACGCAATTAGAGCGAGTAGACATCTAAAATGTTTTATGTCACCTGTTCGACAACGCAATCAAGGCAAAAATATTGGTACATTGTCATATTAGTTATAAGCTTGTCGTCGTTACAAATTCCGTATTTACAATTGTATTTTTTGTACGAATGCTTTGTTTAAGTACTTGTGTCTGGTCCCTTTTATGACAGTAAAAAATATTTGAAACAAACCATGGTTTTGAAAGCTTATTACATCTTATTGTGCACACTCTGTGTCCCTCTAGACACCCGTCCTCGTCTGATCCTATATATTATGAAGAATGAACTCGTGACAAACAAGAACAAAACTTACAACATATGCGTATTGTTATTAAATTGTGTAAAATCTAGGACAGTGCAGTTCAAAATCTCGTCAACATAGCTGAACGTTCAAGCAAAATATTTGAAGTGATATTTCTTCTCATGGTAGATATTAAATTATTTCCTTTGCATATAGCGTCAAGGGAAACAACTCTTTTATCAGTTGACAGTTATACTATAATCAAATTACATATAAATTATAGCACAGCGATAGTGCGTAGAAAATACTATGCGTTTTCAAATTACCAATTAAGATATATTTTTTTTATCTTATTCTGGCATTTTTCAAAACTTTGTTGCAAGTATTTTTCTTCAAATATCTTTAATTGTAACTGTCAGACAGCAATTTGGAATGATATTGAAATCAAAACGCTTGGATTAGGAATGAAACTAAACAAGAAAATTAACATGATACCACAAAATATCTGAATCGTTGCTTTAGTTTATTGTTGTTTTGCGTCCTATTAACAGCCAGGGTCATTTAAAGACGTGCCAGGTTTGGATGGTGGAGGAAAGTTTGAGTTCCCGAGAAAAAACAACGACCTGAGACCAGTATCTGGCGACTGCGCACGCCCCATATAGGCCACGAACTCTTACCCAGAGGTGGAGGGATAAATGACAGACGGTCAGACGTCTTAACCACTCAAAAATAACATATGAATAAGTTGTAACTAAAATAAATCTTTATATATCATTACTGAGAGACACAAGCATACATCTGGAATGAAGTGACAGGAAGTCACATAGTCCTATAAGTAAGGTTAAATGAAACATTTCCATGCATGGTGCTCTTTTTAGTAATATATTGTACAAGAATTAACATGTCATCATGTAGCAGCATATTTAATTTCTCATTTCTACGTCATATGTGCCCGTTCCTATTATAAATCTCTATATAATGATCAATAGCGGTTTTAATTAGTTTTCGGCATTTCATACTTATATGCCCACACGGCGATGTAAAAATAGCGACTATTTTCGTAAATCCTTTCTGAGAAATGAATGCAAGAATCTTAGTATCATATAAGATTTATATTCTTAGATCATTCAGGAATGACTAGTCTTTCTTTAGACTGATGTATAATCAATAAAGTGGCTTATGCCGAAATTTTAACTTCTACCCAATCAAAAATCTGTCATGTATTGTTACACATACTCAGTGTGGCCATAATGAAATTTCTGTAGTGGATGTTATTACATCCGGGTAACAGGGTAATTATCTGATAAAATTACATTTTAGAGTAAGGACACTTATTTATTAAAATGTTGACAGATCATTTTGACTGATAAAAATTATCTGAGACCAGAAACCTAAAAGTCGTTTGTCTACAAAGTCGGTATTTCTTTTAAAATGACAAAAATTACAAATTAGCAGGTACATCGCATGCTTAAATTAATTCGTCAATTTACTTTATCGCTTCTGCTAATGAAATAATCATATTGAATTTACATGTCTTAAACGGTATCGAATTGATAAAATTTATATACTTTTGTTTGATAAAAGACAAAAAAAAAACAAAGGAAAAACAAAAAAATAAAACCAAAAACAAAACACTCACGCAATAAATAAATAAATAAATAATAATAAAAAAAACGAAGAAAAAAATCATCCTATTGTCAATGCTTACAATTCTACAAGAACATAGCAACATTTTTGACAGTTGATTGTTTATTATGTTTACTCCGCCTTTTAAAACAAAGAGTGACTTAGTCAATCTAGATTTGGTAGTCACAAAGCGACAAGAAAATCGTTGGAGTTGTTTCCCTTTACCGAAATCCTTAAAGTTTACGTCACGTGCGTAAATAACAAAAATGGCGCAAGATTGTTTTGGTTTTTCAACTGGAATGATAATTGTATTCACATGAATTATATGTGAAACCGACGCTGGAATCAAAGAGAACAATGTCTTGGAAGTTTCCTTGGTCAGAATTCGTGAAGAAAAGGGCATGTAGATACCTGTTACAGCATTATCTCGGCCATTTTCTAAAGGAAAAGTTGACCCTCGATCAATTGAGTGTCGATCTGTATAATGGAACTGGGAAAATTCGACAGCTCGATCTGGACGTCGAGGTATGTGATATTCTTAATTTTAGAGATATCAAAATATATATCAATCAATATATTTATCATGATTACAGCTTAGTCACTAATTCTGTTGAATTATCGTAAACAGGGAGGGTTTTGCGACGTGTAAAATGTAAACAAACAAATTTCTCTCTGGATGTCTGTTGGTGTATAAATGGAGTGAGGCCATTTACGTTTAAGTGCTTTTATATTCAGAATGAACTGTACCACATTTTTATGATAGGCTGACGGATCGAACCAAGGAATAATATTTCATAACATTTTAATCATGATCAGAAACCCATAATCAATGATAAGCGTCGATTTTTGTAAATTTGTGTAAATTCTGAGGAAACACTCAAAAGAATGAATGTCAAAAGACACAAACAATCAATGTTTTTGAATATTACTGACTCACTTTGTCTGTTGTCGTTTGACACCCAACAGGTAACCAGTATATGTATATTATAACAATTATTCTGCTTTATTTTTGTTTAATTTCAGTATATTTTAACACCTCATCACCTCAAGTTTTGGTAACTTGTAAGACCATCTTAAAATTGCATTTTTTTTGCTGATTGCAAAAAAAAAAAAAAAAAAATGGAATACACCTCTGCCTGAAATATTGTCAGCAGACACATTATCTTCCTTCAAATCAGCAATCTCCTAATTCCATTATTAATTCTGTTCCTCTCCACATTTCTCACCAGTCAACCATAAATGACAAGACATGCAATTTGTTGTAGTTGGTCATTATATGGTAGAAGCAGAAGCATTATTTACTGTTCAGATGTTACACAAATTGGAGAAATTTTATAGCTAATAAATAAGGCCTTACAAAGACAAACAGTGGAAGACATATAAGAATAAGACATCACTGTAACTGTTTATGTTAGTCCAAAGGGTTCAAACTATTTTATTTTTGTCTTGGTTGTGGTTGACAGTTACAATATCTCCCAATATCAAAAGCCAGATTTTAACGACCTGTGCATGGGTTAGGATTCAGGCAATGTTGGCATTCAGGCAATGATTTATGTAACTTACAAAGAGAGTTGCAAATCATACATTCATTGAAACCTGTATAGATTTGTCAAAGCAATTTAATGTTGTAAATCAAAGTATTTACACCCATTTTCCTCAACATCTTTACTATTTAGCATATTTAAAATGGTTGTCACTATACAGATCAAGTCTCGCTAGACATGCCCTGATATTATGCACCTACCATTTTCGCTAATCTCACTAGAGTTTACTTTTTGGTAGTTTTACAATGACAAGTTTTGTTCTCATATGTATATTACTACAGGTCTTTGTAAGGCCTTGTTTGTTAGCTATTAAATATCTTGAAATAGCTAATTGCAAGGAGTCCTGGTCTCCTCAAAACTAAAATTTTACTCCTTCATTTTTCCATTTTCTATTAATTTTACAAAGGATGGTCCACATCATTTTTATATCAATTAAATTTTTCTGAAAATGGTCCACAACACATAATGATGAGGACAATAAAGCAAATCAAATTGTTAGTGTATGTTTTTAGTATTAGACCAGTTTATTGCAAATTGGCCCCGTTAAAATCTAACATGAACTTCATCAACATACATCATTTTTATCTCTATATGTTGTTTTGTAGTTACAACGGCAGGGCAGTTTCTTCCATTATCTATGTAATTAATTAATAAAAACTTTCATCCATACATTCAGTACTCCCCATTCCAACAGCCTTGTGATGTTTAAAGGTGTAAACGAGAAGTTCATGTTGTATAACAAAACTCTTAATGAGAAGATACATTTCACATTAAAATTCATTTTTGTCTGAATACATTCAAGGCAAGTTCCAACTGAAGTCTTTTGAAATCATATTCATATATTCATTTTGTTTTTGTTGGTTTTTTAAAAAGGCAATCAATGAGGTGCTGGACAACAGCAATCTACCAGTGGAGATAGTGGATGGATTTATAGATGAAATAGCTGTTTCCATACCATGGACAGCCCTCATACAAAGCAGTACAGAGATGGAGATCCGGGGTCTGGAGCTCACTCTTCAGCCAAAACAGAGAAGCAACAGTGGTGAGTATAGCATGTAAATATTGTCCATCCTAATGACTATAAGCACTTTTTTAATTGTCTCATTGAAAAATTGATCATGACACTTGCATGCTGTTTTTGCATATGCTGCTATTCTGATACACATAGTACAGAGCCATTCCAGACTCATTCTTTTGGAAGCTAAAGGATTGCAGTCTAAATGTTGTTGAGTCTCATTAATAAGAGATGTTCATCTTAAAACAATATATACTCTTGTAATACAGATTAGTCCTGGGCTCAAGTATCAGTTTTGCAAAAAAATAAATTAAACAATTGTCAAAAAAAGGTATTCTGAAATGAGACTTTTATTCTACAGAAAATCTTAGAGAAGTACATCTTAAAAAAATTAACCTGAGAACTGATACAAAAGTTAAAGTATATATTGACTTTTTGCTTTTTGCATTTACCTTCATGAGTTTGTATTCCTGATTGATTTTCTGTAAGATATAATTACATCTTGCGTTTATATAAGATATAATTACATCTTGCATTTATATAAGATATAATTACATCTTGCGTTTATATAAGATATAATTACATCTTGCGTTTATATAAGATATAATTACATCTTGCATTTATATATATATTCATATGAAGTGCAATACCAACAGCATCAGGTGTCATCATGATTCAATACTTAACTTCCTGGCGTAAATGTTGGTTTCTTATTCCTTGTTATTTTGCCATCTAATTTTTTGTTTTTTAGCCCAAGGCTTGGAGACTATGTTTTGCAGTATGAACAGTAGCATGAGCACCAGTCTACAGATAGCAGAGGAATGCTTGAAGGAGGACCGGAGTAAACCTATGAAAGGCCTGGACGGAGGCCTTGGGGATGACGGGGGCCAGCAATTTGAGGGAGTTCAGAAGTTTGCTCAGACTATTGATTCAGGTAATATTTCCTGATAAAAATACAAATTCTATTTCCTTTTTAAACTATTAGGACATGATTGTTTGTCAGTTTCCATCTTCTCCTTAGGATAAAATGCCTGCAATCATCTGTACATGTACTTAGAAATATGAGGAGACTATTTTGTTTTTATACACCTGTCCAAATTTTGACGTTACTGTGGTAGTATACTAATAATTCTTTTGCACTTTGGTTTTAACAAGTTAACAATTGTGCAATGTGGTCATCCTAAGTTGTGAGGGATGTCAACATAATTTTTTTTTTTTCTAACAATGCCATATTTTCTTTAATTTGTTTCTATAATAATCAGAAGCTGTCCAAGCTAATAAATTTTTTATACCATATTAGATACAACCTGACACTACATAGTAGAATATTCTGCTACACATAATGTATGATATTTCCTGTCTTTTTCAGTGCTTTGTAGAGTAAAAGTGACTTTGGTAGACACTGTTATACGACTGGAACACCTCCCCAACAGTGCTGAAACAGGCGTGGCACTTGAAATCAAGATAAAAAGGTAGGGAAATTTCTTCCAGTGCTGACACGAAGGGGGTGTTACAGGGTAAAATTATATAGGAACATTCTCAACAGTGTTGAAATAGAGGTAGCCCAGGGGAACAAGGACAAAGGAACATATAACTAATCAGACCAAGACATGGTATACACTGGTACTGGAAAATTCCTTCTGACTTATAGGTCTGGTTCCTTTTCAACATTTCAAATCAGTAGTGCTGTGATAAAAGAGAAAAAGTAATGTTAGTGTTAATGTTGATGATAGGCATTGATGTTCGTGTCTGTTATTTTGTTTTCATGAATATGTCTTCACCAATGTTACATCAACTTGGTCTGTAACTTGTCTCGGTACTTGTATATGTGTTTAAAACCACATGATAACTGTCACACTTCCTCAATGTTTATAAAGACAAGATTTTGTTATAGGATGGAATACTTTGATGATATGGCTGAAGGATCATCAGTAGATAACCCACAGTTTACAAAGAATTGGGAACCTGCAGCTGTTGCCCATAAGAATTTCCTGATGGAAGGCTTACATATACTGATTGATCACTTTTCTCGTAATTCACGTCCTCACAGTGACCACTCAGGCTCATCATGCTCATCACCTCAGGTAGGGTGGCAGTTTCTTTCACAACACAAAGCTATGACTGGCTGGCACTGATGTGTGGCTTTTACAATAATTTGAATGTCTTTGAAATGTATGTAGTATACCCTCGATAATCCTTCATTCCCAGCTAAAATCAACAGGATTAAAATTTTATGAACTGCTTAGTTTAGTTAACAGGCCAATCTGACTGGAAAGTCGTCAGTATGATGTAATTGGATTTTTTCGAATGTCTATGTAGTATTTACTGTGAATACAAATATTTATATATACAATATCTATGAAAATTTATAAAAAAAATTATTTTCATTTCAAAAATTGTTAAAAACCAATGCTTTCTGAATATTGCATACAGTGTATTTATAGGATGATTTTTGGTGAAGTATTCTGTTTTAAGAATCAAATATGTAGGTTAACACAACCACAGGAACATGCAGTAGTCATTGACATGATAATGAGCAATTCCCCTACAAGCTGGAGGCTCTTCAAAATTTAAAAACTGGAGAAAATACATTTTTACTCACAATTCGCTTTCATGTGTATCACTGATACTGAAAATCTGTGCTCTGTTTTTCTATGTTGTATATACGAAAGTATTGAGGGATGATGGCATTGTCGTAATAACTCAAATTTTACTGTGATTTGTATCAAATTCTAATTATATTGTTACTTTATCTTCTGTCATGTCTTCCTGGTTACCATCAACATTTAAAGTCACATGAAAAACTAGAAAACAAGTCGTCTCCATATAGAAGTTTGCCGTGGAAAAATCTTGGACAATTCAGATTTACTTGTCCAACATTTGAAAAGAAGAGTGGACCAAGACTTTCTCTTTGGCATTTTCTTTACAATCAGTTCATTTTGTCCTGTATACAAGTACTATACATAGCAAGAGGTATATGTTGTACGCTTTGAGCATTAGTAACTGAACATAAAAAAAAATTCATGTAGTAACAAAAGTATCCTAACTTTTACAGCAATATTACTACAAAAAGTCCATTCCATTCCCAAAAAGTATTTCTAGAACTGGAATTTGAAATCATAGACTATGAGTGCAATTAACATTGCGGAAATCAGTTTCCAACATTCCCATCCAGACTGAGTTTTTTTGTTGTTTTGGATAATCGGCATGCAGATTAACGCTGATCTGCAGTCTATAAATATTGAAGGCTGAATATCTAATCACTTGAGAAATAGTTTCACTCCTTTTTGGAATTTCTCTTACTCTAGAGAATTACATATTGAGTTTTCTTTTTTTATTCAGAATTATGAATCTGCTGCCAGTTCTCCATTAGGGCTTCCTAAGAATGTTAACCAATCATCAGAGAGTACTGAATCACCTGACCAATGTGAACCAATACAAATAGCAGTTGTTACAGGGAAGACCAGCTTGAAACTGAAAATCAAGCAAGCTGATTCTGTTACAGGACCCAAAGTAAGTCATTCCGATTACCTGATACAAAGATGTCTGTAATAAGAATATTGTAATACTGTTTACATCAACCATGCTTTTTCCTTCTTAATATTAAACTGTGTTATATATGAGGTACTTAGGAATATTCATTGATTTTCAAGATGACTATAAGATGTTTTAAATTCTGTGTTTGTCAGCTGGAGACCGAGGTAGAGCTTGGTGCTCTACACATACTCCTAGCTCCCAGACAGGTACACTCTCTGCTGGAGATAATGGATGGCCTCATTTCTCCAGGTAAGTTGGCTGTAATGATTTCCACCAATAATGACACTGATGGCAAATTTATCATTAAAGTGTAAAGGAATACTGGGTCCATTGATGTTCATTTTGTACGTTAATGATTTACCTCTATTAAACAAACACTGTACCTCCAATATGTATGCTGACGATACCTCAGTTGAGTGATCATATTCCTTAGAAAATAAAATGTATTGTAGTATAAGAGTTCAGTTTAATGCCATTTATACTTTAGCATGTCCCTTGATAAAATAGAAGTCTGAAGCAAGGTTTTGGTCTTCATTAGCATAGTTTTCTTTTCATAAAGTTTGATTTGTGTAATATGATTCTCATGAAATCTGGTTTCCCTGTGCTGGCAAAGGCAAATATGTTTTATTTAATAGGTACTAATGAAGCAGCCAAGAGACGGCATCAAAGTAACAGAAACAAGCCTATGTCTGCTGAGGACATGCAAAGAATAGAGCGAGAACTCCAGCGTCAGATGATGGAGGGGCGGGTTCAGTCTCATAAAAAACCGTCACCTGATCCAAGACTGCCAATGGGCATGCATGACATCATGACCACCTCAATGGGTCAGTGACATAGTAACAGCATGATCCTTAATCTTATCTAAGTAATCATAGAAACACCATTTAATGTCATCACTTCAGTCTTGGTGAATAAGTTTAAAGGGACTAGATGGTAAGATTTTCATTTCATAGCTGATTAAAAGGATTATAGCATTTAAATATCTTTTAAAAGTTTTTCCTGTTAATTATGATATTTAAAAGTTTGCATAACCATATTATTGAAAAAGTTAAGATAGGAATGCCCCAACACTGATTCATATCATTATTGTGTGGAAAGTGTAAGCAATGTCTGTACATGTAAATTTAGAAACCATAACAAAGCAGCAGGTTAAAATGAGGTTCCTGAAGGTCATGTGATGAACTTAGTTTGAAGGTGATAATCTTGATCATTTTTTCTCAAAAAGTGCTATAGCTTTGTGAACGGTGTAATTTTAAGTATTACAACTCTTGCTCGAAATTTAAAAGCATTGGGAAAAATAACGAAATCTCATCATTTATTCCCTTTAAACTCTGTAAGAATATTTGGAACACTTTTATTGTAAGTTTTGGAAATTATATGAACAGTTTAGGTTGGAATTCATCAAGGATGTCGTAATACATTCATTTTAATCTGAACTTAGTGACTTTTCAGTTAGTATGATAACATTTTGTTGTTCCAGTGTCCAGCTATCATTCATTCACTGGTATTGTATTACTGTTTCGGTAACTGGTATGCTTGCTAATGTCCTCCCGCTTTGTAATGTTATTTCTGTATGTTTAGAAATTCTGTTCAAACACTACCTGTGATTTCATATGTGTAAGATAAAATGGTTTTGTTGAGTGATATCAATCTCTTTGTCTATAATAATATTGTTATCATTGAAGTCTAACTTGGTACAAACATAATCTATATCTTAATAATTCCTTTGCCAAATTCCCAAAAGAATGTAACATTGCAGTACACGTATAAAGTTTCTATTGCCTGGTTTTATCCTCTTTCAAGCTTGCTGCAGCTACACGCTCACATCCCAGTAACACATGATCAACATGATTTCTTCTAGTATTGCATTGCACATTAGTCTTTAAAACTCTTAAATGATCTTGATGCAGTCAGTTTACAGCTGTCATCTGATTTTGTTTATGGCACTACCTGATAAAGTAGACATATTTCCCTTTTCTGTAGGTTATCAGTCTTTGACCATCCATACCATTGGTTAGACTTTGGTTGTAAACTCTTACATCAGAAATCTTAGTCAGTAATCTATTCATACAGATAACTCATCTGCTATTCACTGTATCATATTAAAGTTGGTAACTCTCCTATATTTTTCCACATCAACCTTATTACTCTAGTACAAAAAGTAAAAGATTCTCCAAAATTACTTTATGGATGTATCTTTAGGGAGACAACACTCGTATACACGACAGTGTGACCTATGTGTTCCACTCTACAAGCTTTGTTATACTAGGCATTATAAAAAAGTAAGTTTGATTTAGAGTAAGGGAGGTAACTTGTCAGTACACCAATATAGAGAAAATTACATCAAAATTTCATACTCTTGATTAAAATCATATGTTTTTCTTTGTTTACTATACATATATTTATGTAGACAAGTGCAATGGTTAAAAAGAAATGTCAAATTAATTAAAGACAAGCTTGTATTTATAACTTTAACATGGCATTCAATATTTAAGTGCCCCTAATACCTGTTCTAAATGTTTCAAAATGTTAAATTTGACTGAATGTAACTTAGTATTCATCGTCTTTACTCTAATGATTAAGATGAAGATATAGGAGATTGCATGATTTTTTTATGTTGTTCTGTTAATTATTTTTTTCAAATTTAGAAACCTTTTAGGGAATTTGAATGAGTACCATAACTCAAACTAGCAATATGAGAGATCAGAAAAATGTTAATAACTAAAATATAAAACTGAGGTGTTAAACATTTTGACAATTGACTTAATTGATTTTCAGTGGAAAAATATTTTGGATCAAAAAGTTATGTAATAAAATATTTCTAATTTTAGAAGAAGAAGAATGCTACTTTTCTCTGAATCCTGCGGGCAAAAGTATAGATATGGAATCTTCAGTGTCCAGTAATTTTAGTTTAGCCTCCAACAGAACAGCCAGTACTGTGACAAGTAAGTAGTGTTCAAGTGTATTCTAAGATATGTTGAGTTATAACCTTGAGGAAGTTAAGTGTGATGTGCATTAAATCTCTGAAAACCTAGTGCAATTTTATGCATTTGTTTTGAAAATAACTGTAATAGCGCTGTATAGGAGATTCGCTTTCATAGCTGGTTTCTGCATGGAGGTGATTTAGTAAGCAGACTTGATTGAATTTGTTTGTATCATTTAGGGGTACATGTTTTGGTTCTGAATTCACTAATATGTGTGTGGATTGTTCAGAAACAGTGTAGTCATTGACTCTACAGATCCTATCAAAATATTTATCAACTTTCAAGGAGAAGTTGATACCAAAGTTTCCATAGAGTTACATTTGAATTGAATGGACAGGCAAGTGGGTTACTCAAAACAAAACTAAACAAACAAAAAAAATTGAGAATAAGTGTTTAATTGTAATATGTATAATTATGTACCTGACCAAACAGAAACATTTTGATGCTAATAATTCCTTTGGACCACAGGTCGCCAACCTAGCCGAGCTCCCAAGAGAGAACCAAGTCACTACAAATCGAAAGGTAAGTACTTGTCCCTACTTTAGAGAAATGATCACCACAGTTTACCTTTTGTAATGAATATATATATATTGTACTTAAGAATATTAGAACACAGTATCTTATACAGAACAAATATTTGCTGGGGGAAAGTTTTCCTTGTCCTTAAGCTTCAAGACAAAACATAAGGCCAAGACACACATGATAGAGATAGAAAATAGGACTTTTATTGTAGGATGACAAAAGAAATTGAATAGAGAAACATTCCAGCATAAACATAATTGTATGTGATGCATCTCCATCATTGTGATCGTTTCAAGTCATTTTGCTGTAGTTACATTATTGTAATTCACGATATCAATGTATGAGATAGAGGCTAGTGCATTCTACAACATATCAGAATATTTTCAAATTTAATCGAAAATGTAAATGTAATACTATTAAATCCTGTGCATTCTCTTTATGGTCAAACTTTTATATTTGTAACCATGAAATATAAACTAAAAAAGAATAAAAAGTGATCAATATTTGCATTTTGCATTATGACCTCCCATTAAGTCAGTGTTAATCTTAAATGTATTGACACAAGACAATGATAGCACTTCATTCTGGTGCAGTGTTGGCCTATGTTATGTCAATGCTTTGCACATAATAGCTTTATACAAAACATTCAGATGAGTAGGATTTTCAGGAAGCACTTCTAGTAACTAAATATACAAGCAGAACACTTTGAATTTGATAAAAATTAACATGACAGTATTTCAAATGATATCTGAAAAGTTAATATTACTATTGATCTGTCATCAGATTGTCTTTATTGTGAATATGAAATATCATAAAGATCTATTATAAAAAGTTTTGCTGTGATCAGTATATAGATAACTGTATGTATGCACATTAGTACCAGGTGTGTTTTTGTGTGTTAAGACACATTACAGAGGATCTTGGATGACCCAAGTGCTGAGCTGTGCCGTTATCACCTAAGACTGACATTCTTCACCATCTCAATCCTGCATGAGAATCCTCGACCAGTTCTTGGTGAAAGCAATGAGCAATCTGAGCAGAAAAACAAAATGAAGGGTATTTCAGAAGCATTCTTTAAGCGTGTATTCACTTTCCTTCCTGCGGGCAAGAGTGAGTTAAGACAGATGCGGAAACACTTTGCTGAAGCTTTGCATTGTGATCACCTGCGGTAAGTGGGATATTCTCTAGAAAACCTGGATAGTGGTAGTTAGGTTAGAAAACCTGGTAGTGTGGTAGTTAAATTAGAAAACCTGGTAGTGTGGTAGTTAAATTAGAAAACCTTGGTAGTGTGGTTGCTGAATTAGAAAATCTGGATGTTGTGTAGGAGAACCTGGATATTTTTGTAGTTTGGTTAGAAAACCTGGATAGTGTGAAGGTTTGGTTAGAAAACCTGGATGGTATACAGGAGAACCTGTATAGTGTGGTAGTTTGGTTAGAAAACCTGGAAGGTGTGTAGGATCGTGCTAGAAAACTTGGTTAGTTTGGTAGTTAGGTTATAAACCTGGATATTGGATAGGTTTGGTAAGAAAACCTGGATAGTGTGGTAAAGGAAACCTGGATTGTGTGTAGGTTCAGTTAGAAAACTTAGTTAGTGTGGTAGTAAGGTTTTGGTACTTAGGTTATAAACCTGGACAGTGTATAGGTTCGGTTAGAAAACTTGGGTAGTGTGGTAAAGGAAACCTAGATAGTGTTTAATTATAACAGGAAACTTGTATAATGTGATGATCATGTTGAATGTAATATGATATAAGTCAAATTCCTGTAAAATTGCTGTAGAAATGATTATTGAGTTAGAGTGTATTGAACATGTTATTAATGTTCCAGAAAATAACTTTGAAGTCTCAGTTATCAATCTTGGCTCCATTTTCTTCAGGTATTGTTTACATTGGTCTGTTTTGACTATTGGTCTTATATATTTAATTCAAAAATTTGAAAATATTACTGAAAAGAGCTAATGCATAATTGATATAAAATTTAGAAATATCAGAGTATTGAAAGTGTATACCTTGATGGGAAAAAGGATTTTTTGCATGGATATGAAATAGCTAAATTGATGATATGCAGTAATACTGTTTATAAGTCTTCTTCAATACCATAGTCAGGAATATCTCTCTAATTTCCCTTCTAGCAATCGCGTTTGGTTTTAGACTGTAGTCATTAAATAAACACAAGTTGATATTTTGGTTACAGATTTGTAGGGAAACCACTGAACCTGGAGTGTGTAGAGAAGACCGTTCCAACACATTATAGTACAACCATAGAACTCACCATCGGACTGTTCGAGGGTGTGGAATGTTTGTTTGACCGCAGAAATGAGAGCATGAAACCAGAGTACACAGAGGTTAGTTCTATTTCCTTCACTTTGTCCATGTGTTTGATTGACAAGCTGAAAAATTGCTACAGCACATCACTTTAGATTAATATCTAGTATTTCAAAATCACTTACTGTATTTTGAATGATATTTAGACCAAAATGTTTCAGCTATCACCCCTTTATTTATTTCTCTTAATTGGCTGAAAAACTCAACAATTATGACTAGGCACTAAGTGGAGCTTAATTGATTTGTCCATTCCATGCTCATTTTGTACATTCTTATCATCAAGATTCTAAAAAACGGAAAGAATAGCTCTGTCAGATACTGTAAATTTACTTGTTTTCACGCAGTCAAAAACGCAATATTAATTTTGAACAAATCATCACAATGAATTTGTTCAAGGTTTTTAACCTCGAACCAAAATTGCAATAAGTGCAATTATTTAATTACAGCTTAGTATCGTTTAGTGTGAAAAGGGCCAGGATCATAAATATATGATGTTAAATATATACATTATATCCACTTCTATATGATTGATGTCCACAAAACCTTTCACTTTGTCTTCCAATATCCGAGACTCTTATACACTGGTACTAATTAAGTCTGTAACAAAATCAGTCTGTCTCGTACGTTTTATACATTGTTCAAATTGTTGTTGCCTCCCTTAAGGTAAAATTGTTCAAAATGATACGTCAATAGGTACATTAATTTGTTTTGTTGTTTATTTTTCTACATTTTTGTTCATATGAGGACAGCATTTGTCTGAAGAGGGCAACAGAATGTCATACTTGTCATAGAAACATCACGCAAAAAGTTTCCACTGTTTCAGAACCAAGAGAAATTTCTGATTGTATCCAAAATACTTTCAGGATTATTAGAGAATAGTTTAGCTACATTATCAACTCTCAAGTATGTGTGAATCTGGTTCTATATATCGAAAATTGGTTTAAAAACACTTGACTAAAGTCTATAGGACATGTAAAAGATAATTCAAAATAGCAAATTCAAAAATGTTAGATATTGGTGTTGTTGGCTACAAGTCATGAACTATATCAATGTTTGTCATTGACTATATCTTATCTGTTTATACCCCTTAGTTTAGGTATGTCAGTCTTTAAGAAATATAATGATCTATTGACATTTCATAAAGAATTTCTAAATTTGTCTGTATAAAGGGAGATAACTACTGCAGACTTAGTGGAGGGGTTACAAAAGATCTATATAAAGGGGAGATAACTACTGCTAACTTCATGCAAAAACCTTGCACACACACACCGATGTATTGTCATACATGTATAATTTACACTGAATGTATAGACATGCATGCTTTTGTGTTTAGGTCATCTGTTAAAGGGAGATTACTACTGCTGACCTAATGCAAACCTCACAAGACCACTGTATTCACATGCTATATATAATAAAATATTTTACCTATCCGATGGTTGGACTTAGCCATGTTTCTATGAACAGAGACATTTTGCATCCACGATAGACACTATTTTCATCTCATAGCATTGAATGACAGTAATTATTAAGTAATAGATGAATAAAAAAAAATTGATATTTTCATACATTAACGATATCTTTTATTTGATTAAACAGTTATAAGTAAAATGTAACGTGAAACACTTGTCATCGAATTACAGCACACACATGGATTTACCCTGACTCTCATTCACATATCTCGAAATTGATACCTAAAGTAATTCAAATATTGTGCTCAAATTTATATCCTTAAGAGTAACAAGTCTTGTCAACAATTTTTAAAAAATAAAACTCAGTGAATACACACTTATGAACATTCTACATTGGTATAACATTGATAGCACAGAGGTAGGTTATGAAGTGATGAAAGCTGCAACAACATCATTGAAGCATCTCTTTACATTGTACAACACTATAAGTGTGTAACTATAAATTAACTTGCACTTTTTTAAAGTGCAATTTACTTAAATATCCTAAGAATTGTTTTTAAATCCTGAACAAATGTGTCTATCACAAATTTTAAAATCCTACTCCTCCTGTAGGAATTATTGAATTGTGCCCAAATTTAGACTGAAGCATTGTTGGGTGAAGGGAAATCAGTTGTGCATAAATGAGAGGTCTCGCCTCACCGAGGGGCAGGAGGAGTGATGCTAGATAGGGGTTATAAAGCATATTGTTTAAAATTCTACTCCTCCTGTAGTAATAATTTGATTTTGCTCAAATTTGGTATGAAGTAGTGTTGGATAAAGGGGATTCAAATTTGTGTAAACATTGGGTCTCGGCCCCTTGGGGCAGGGCAAAAAAAGTGGTTTATAAGGTTATTTTTTTTAAGTCCTACTACTCCTGTAGGAATGATTGGCCTAATTTGGTTTGAAGCATTTTTGGACAAAGCGATATCAATTTTGTATAAACCATGGATCTCAGCCCCCTGGGGACAGAGGAGTCCGGCCCAATAAGGGAAATAAAGCAATTTTTTAAAAATTCCTGTGGAAAGATTGGATTTTCCCCAAATTAAGTCGGAAGCTTTGTTGGATGAAAGGGAATCAATTTATATGAATGGTAGGTCTCAGCCCCCGGGGGCCTGAGGGGTGGGGCCAATAGGGATAACAGAACAATTTCTGTAAAATACTTGTCCTCCTGTAGGAATGATTGGATTTTACCCAAATTTAATCTGAAGCATTTTGGAATGAAAGGGAGTTAATTTTGTATAAACAGTGGGTCTCAGTCCCCTGGGGCGAGAGGGGTGGGGCCCAATAGGGTAAATATAGTAAATTTTTTTAAAATCCTACTTCTCCTGTAGGAATGAATGAATATTGCCCAAATTTAGTCTGAAATATTCTCGGATGAAGTGGAATCAGATGTGTATGAACAGTAGATTGCAACCACCTGGGGTTGGAGGGGCGGGGTGCAATTGTTGAAATAGGGCATAATTCCTCAAAATCTTACTTCTCCATTAAGAATCATTAGATATTTCCCAAATTTGGTCAGAAGTATGCTTGAATAAACAGGAACAAAGTTTGTGTCAGGGTGGGTTCTCAGTTCCCACTGGCATAGTTCTTTAAAATCTTACTCCTCCTACAACAATAAATGGATATTGCCCAAATTTGGTCTACCTGGTAAGTATTCTTGGGTGAAGGGGACTTAGTTCTGTATAAATTGTGCATCCCGACACTACAGGGTGACAATGTTTACAATTAGAGAGTCTGAATTTATCGCTGGCAGACATCTTGCTTTAGTTTTTTATAATGTACACATGCATGTCTACAGATAACAAATATACTAGCACTAGTCAGATAGCATCTGTGATTTTTGTGGCGTTTTGAAATGGGAGATAATGTTTTTACTAACACTCCAGAATAACAGGCATTTTTGGAAGTAAAATTTGATATAATAAACTTCAATGTTTATATCAACAACACCTAATTATCTAAATCATAACATACATATTTAATATTTTTAATGTGAACAGCAAATAGTAAGCTTTACATCATTTCAACAGCGGAAGAACTTGCATGAATGATATATTTCAGATTTTCATGCAATATATGTGTCAAAAAAAAAAGAAAGATAAAATTGTGACTCAGTATAGTATGAAGCTTGGAGGCCTAATGAATTAATTAGAGAAGGGTGTGGTTACTCTGTAACAGCTGCTGACATTCTTTTGTGATGAATGTGCCACTGCCAATAATACTCTGATGTAGTCTAATTCATTGATCTGTTGGTAAAATTAACATAGTTATATCATTGATTTATAGACACTGTTTATATATCTGTCTAAACTGATTCCTTTATGTCAAACTGCTAGTAGTGCTATCAACAAGACTACATATACAGATATGTGTTGGATATTAATGATCTATTCTATAAATATTGCAAAACAGTTTATTTAATTATTCCTTTATTTCTCATTCTTTTTTCTCTGAATCATTTTGAAGGAAACTTTTCCTTTTACGTATGTTATCTTAAGATCTGATATAGCTCTTCTTGTATATTATTGGTGCAGTTTATTTGAATATTGATTGTCTGGAATTGAAAATCAGATAATTTAGGTAAAATGAACTGATTGACTTGTTTTCTGTTTTTCCTCTTTTACTTATTTTCCATAGATAAAAATACATTTTAAAAACCTGTCTTTTTACCAACTACATAAATCACTTTGTTTATTATATGTTTATATCAACTTTTGACAATACAAGTTGTTGAATTTATTAGATTGATTATCTTGTTGAGCTGCATTAGTTGAGCAGAGTGACATGTGTCATCAAGTTAAAAATAGGTATTGAATCACCCAACTGCTGTGTATCAGTATTAGAAGGAGGTCAAGGTTTCGGTAAAACCCCTGTTGTAGTTTTATCGGGACAGTAGCTTTGGACCAGCTGTTGTATAGAGGTCAGCTGCGCATGAGTCATCCACACAGTTTACCAGTAGCCATGGATACCAGGTGTTGACATACATAATCGCTAGTTTCACACCTGGTTGCTGTGGTTTTATCCATAATACAAACAATCGATGACTAACTTCACAGTTCCTGAATTATGATTTATCAGATAAAAATAAGAATAACTGGCATGTAATAAGAAAGTAGTTTTAAAAATATATGAGAGCAAGCATGGCAGCTGGTGGGGATGTATTGATGTTGTGGTTCAATGGAAAACTTACTGTAGGTATCAACATATATTTACAATACGATTTACTGTACATGCAACATAACGGGTGTCGGTCAATATCATAGCTGTCAAGTAGCCAATTCTGATTTTAACTGGAGAGTGCCTCATCTCATTTCAAAATGGATCCAACATAAAGTTTTGAAATGCAAAATGAAATATTATAATATCAACATTCACATTCCCTATTTGATAAAGCATTTAGTTAATTTGAATTCAGAGTTGATAGAAGGAGCAAAAATCTTTTTGTGAGTCAATTTTGTATTTTTCAAGATACAAGTATGATTCCTGCAAAATGATTCAAATGTGGTTGGACCTGTACTTTTATAAATGTTTGTTCTTAGAGCAAGAAGGGCCAGGCCCAATAGGGGAAATAG